GCAAGCAAGGCGACTGGCCGCCGCCATGTCTCTTCTCGTGCGGACAAGCCCGTCTAATTTCAAGCTTGCCGAAGCTATGTTCACGCGCAAGCTGCACGTGCTTGCACTTATGGGGCACCAGTCACGGCGTCATGCTTACAGTTGTTTATAGAAATGATTCGAAGTAAGTAACCAAAATAAAGGGTCTGTGGAACGCGCGTGCGAATTGCCATTTGTTTTAGATTTTTGCTTTAAAAAAGTGCTCAAGACGCCAGCACGCGCAGCACATGTACCTACGTTCCCGGCATTCTTTATGCTGCTTGGGCCATTCGGCAAAAGGTTTATAGACCTATTGCTATATTACCCAAGCATCGAGGAGAATGCAGGGATTAGTGTTCCACGCGCCACACGCGCATGCCTTCCCCGTATAAAACATTCGAAGTTAATAGCCAAAATAAAGCGTAGACGAACGCGCGTGCCAGATGCAATTTGTTTGGGGCATCTGCTTTAAAAAAAGTTACTACTGTTGAGGCCAACACGTGCGGCGCATGGAACACCAATTCCTGCATTCTCCTCGATGCTTGGGTAATTCAGCAATAGGTCTATTGTACGCACTTGCCCGCACGAGCAGAGACATGATGGCGGACAGATTCCCTGCTTCAGCGCCGTGTATTAGCGGCGAGATGTTTTAGTGGCACCGCGCTAGGGGTCCCTCTCGTGACGTCATTACCTTGCGAACAACAAGTTCGATGGTGTTTGCAATTTGCATGGTGGAAGCTTGAAATTATTGCGCTCTGAAACCAACACTGCCAACACCGTCAAAATCGATGTTCTTACATTACTCTTATTTCTGTCGATGACAAAACCTTTGCTGGCCATCGTTGTTTTCTACAAAATAAGTAAAGTAAAGCTAAACAACAACAAACCTTTGCTGGCATCATAGTCAGCATTCGGCCAATCTCGGAAGGCCGACCGCAGCGACGCTTTTGATCGCGCACGTCGCCAATAGAGAGAGTTTGGTCAATGGGAGGAGCGGGCAGAGCCAGGGCGTGCACCAGACGCAGATAGAGTGCTTACATTTCGTCTCACCCTAGCATGGACTAACCGCGAAGACTGTGCTAGCGCGAGCGGCCAGCCTTGACTGCCTTGACTAGAGCGCATGCTGCACGAGCGCTCGTGCAGCCGCCGCGGCTTCATTCAAAGCGACTAGCTCTCGCGGCTAACAATAGTCCATACTAAGGTGAGACGAAGTATAGCTTGCTCTCTTGGCCAACCAGAAGCCGAAAAGAACCCCCTAGTGGTGGTTGCGAGAAACAGCTTTAATAAGCGCGTAAGGGCTAAATGTAGTAGCTCTTTATGGTTGAAAATAGGGTGCACGTGATGTTTCGATTATGGTCATGTACAGAGATGTAAGAAACGAATGTGCCGCTCGAACTCTGTTTGGCCTTGCATTTTTTTCTAAGTTTCAGACGAATTTAGGCTTGAAGTGTATCGGTTTTGACTAAGGAACAGGAGAACAAGACCCTCAAGTCAAACATTGGTTTTAGATATTGGGTCACAGGATGAACAATTAGAGGCAATGTCCATTTGACTTTTGTATAAGATTCATGGCTAAGAATTAAATGGGCTGAGGGGGGCTGTGTTTTATGCACAAGCTCAATTTGCACATCTTGTTGATCTGATATAAATATTTAATTATTTTTTCTCTGTTTTCTCTTTTTTTCTTTTTTTTCTCTTTTTCTGTCAGGATGCTGTACTGATACAGTTTTTATAATTCCTGGCGATGTGTTCAGCTTATATAATTTCTCTAGTTAATTGGAATTATAAAAACTGTATCAGTACACCATCTTTAAACGTGACAGAAAAAGAGAAAAAAAAATTTAAGCGTCTAGGAGATCGGTGCGCGTGCAAGAGGTAGAAGAGGACAAAGTATATATAAAAACGAGTTGTCTGTCAGCGCCACTGATCTCAATGACAATTGCTGGATCGCGCTTGCCGCTCCCGCAAGTGAAGCCACCGGGCTTCACTCGCTTGGGATACGATTTGCCGTTTTTGCTAGCCTTTGCTGCGGTTTTCCAGCGTGCTGACGACACGTTTTCTACTCGTTCGTCGTCATTCGCCGAAGAAGTTTCTTGAAGACTCTGTGTATTGTTGAGACTTGCCGTTGTGAACACGTGGACAATTTTACGAAAGTGCAGTGTCGCAGGAAAAAGGCACAACGCGTCGAAAGGAAGGGCTGGCGGCGTGTTCAAAGCTTCCTTGGCACGCCGAAGTGCCGTGTCTCTGTGCCTTCGCGCGCTTGGATACCGACCAAGAACCGACGCCGTGTGAATGTGTTTAGCGAGTGCAATGTGCGTGAAGCCGTATCAAAAGGTACAACTCGTCGAAAACGTGTCGCCGGTGTCGCGGCGTGATCAAAGCTTCCTTGGCACGCCGAGTGATGCATCTTTGTGCCTTCGCACGCTTGGATACCGGTCAAGAATTGACGCCGCGCCAAAGTTCTGAACGTGTGTCGCGCGTAGATGCCTTTAGATCATTTATATATATCGGCCACGGAGTTCTGGATCGTCCAGCTGTTCCGGTGAGTTGCTATCAATAAAAGGGGGAGATCTGTACGTGTTCTTATGTACTATATTAACCATGGCTATGTCCCAAATCTACTCTAATAGATTCCGTGGGAGCACGAATAGGGCAACGTTGTGGAGCCAGGGGGGTTTTCGAAAGCAAAAGTACAAGACGGCGAGAATGAAAATCTTTGAAGCGCGGCCGATATGGTCGTGTGCAATCTGTTGACCGCAATTACAATTAGGCGAGCCGCGCTCAAACGTCAAGTGCAATTAAGTAGGTTGATAATAAGCCAGCACTGATCAGTGATGAGGAGCTGTTGTGCACGGTATTGTGTAAATCGTCTAAGGACGAAAAAAAAGACGTACCTTCTCCCCATCTTCCGTCGCTAGTGGACGCTGGATTAAGCTCGTTCCTCAACCGCGAGGGAAAAAGACGCTGATCCAGAGGCACGAACAGCTTCACGCACATTGCACCCGCTGAACACATACACACGGCGTCGGTTCTTGGTCGGTATCCAAGCGTGCGAAGGCACAGAGACACGGCACTTCGGCGTGCCAAGGAAGCTTTTAACACGCCGCCAGCCCTTCCTTTCGACGCGTTGTGCCTTTTTCCTGCGACACTGCACTTTCGTAAAATTTTCCACGTGTTCACAACGGCAAGTCTCAACAATACACGGAGTCTTCAAAAAACTTCTTCGGCGAATGACGACGAACGAGTAGAAAACGTGTCGTCAGCACGCTGGAAAACCGCAGCAAAGGCTAGCAAAAACGGCAAATCGTATCCCAAGCGAGTGAAGCCCGGTGGCTTCACTTGCGCTGCAGCGAACAAGCGGGGAAGCGCGATCCAGCAATTGTCATAGAGATCAGTGGTCAGCGCGATTTGTTTGAATTTGGCTTTATTTTTCGTGTGTAAGGGGTGAGTGTTTGCAATAGTGCGCTGTAGTGTGTGTAAAAATGAGCAACCAACACGCCCAAGCTGCTACGTTAACAGGATTATGACGATTGTTCCGCCAGTTGCGCTGCTTCACCATGATTTTAGATGACCGTGATTGAAACATCACGTGCACCGTATTTTCAGTCACCGGGAGTTATTCCTACGCACTTATTAATTTTGTTTCTCGCAACCACCGCCAGGGTATTATTTCCGGCTTCTGGATGGCCGCATTCAAATATTTGCGAAAACGCCCTGGAACACGCCGAGCTGGCTTTCGACCAATGGCGTCTCCTCATTTACCTCCTATACTTTCCAATGAGTGGCCATACTCTGAATATACAGCTCTGCCCTGCTTGCAATCGTCTAATGCTAAGTATATATGTTCCCGTGACGTCATTGACACGAGTTGAGGGTAAATCAACTTATCGTCTGCCATGAACAACTGTTCTCACGGTGCTAAAGAATTCTGGCGAACGCTCTGATTAGAAAACACCGTAATGAGAGTCCTGAGATGAAGTTTTAGGGTTGGAATATTGAGGCGGACTACTTTGTTTCTCATGGTTACGATAAGGTGTCAACTCAAGGTAAGATTATTAGGCGGACCATCTTATGCAAAAGTTTTGTTCTTATCTACGACTTTTCCCTTGAGGTCGACGAGCTCAATGGTACGAAGCAAGCATGAAGTAAGCTGGCTCTGTTCGAGCCCTGTCCCACAAAACGATAAGATGACGGAGCGGTTGCTACTCTGCCACAGCAAGTGTTCGAGAGCAAACACCTAAAACAAATGGCCCTTTGCACGTGCGTTTGTCACCGTCTTATTTTGGTTTTTTGCTTCAAATATTTTATACATAAAATGCGAGCGCGTGCAGTGAGAATACCTATACTTTCCTAGCATTATTTTTGATGCTTGGGTAATTTGGCAAGAGGTCTATTAAAAGCCCCAATCTTGAGCCCGTGGCCTTGGCTGTTCAGCTTTGTGAAGTACTTCGGTCGCAGGATGGAAGCACTTCCTGACTCCCGCTCTCTGCTCTCGGAAAATACTCACCAACGTTCACTCGAGTGCGTCGTCACAGTCTAGCGGGTTATGAAGAAGACAAGGATGGAACCATTTTAATTTCCTTGTTTGTTCGGTTTTTTGTTTTGTTTTGCAAAAAGCATTTATTTAAAGATTTGTAAATAAACGATTTTGCTTTCTGATTTTTCTTTTAATCATAAAACACAGTCAAGTTACAAGAATTCATTTCCTAATCTACGACGAAATAGATACACTGTGGATTGACGGGGGCTTTAGCCAGATTTACGATATAAATCCTCAATCAATCCAATTTCTGCAAAAAAAAAAAAAAATCCGGGTAATGGTAAGGCCTAGGTCATTCATGACTCTGACGGAGTGAACTGAACACTATCGGGGCTTCAGCTTCTTATGATGCGTCCAACATTTGAAAAATAAAACAAGAATGAAGCCTGTTAAACCAAGTTAAACGCGATAGCGGTGCGTAACTGGCACGGTCGATCCAGGAGCCAAGCAGTCATGCATGTCTGGCTTCTATGAATGTCTTCGCTTGGGTAAGGGCGGAAGGTCAGGCATGTTTGCCATGCTCAACAACGTGCCGCCGCCAGTAGAAATTCTTCAGTCCGACTTTCCCTGGTACCAGAGGTTCTGCGGTTGCAGTAGACAGCTGGAGAGCGGTGGTCTCCTCAACGAAGCGCTGACCAAAACCAGCATCAGCACCCTGGACAGAATCAAAACCATCAAGTACATTGAGCGTTACCCGTCTGTCGTCGGGGATGCCAAAAACCTCGTGACCTGTTTGGAGAACTTGCAGTGTCTGGTCAAAGACGAGGGCCCCGATATAGTGGTAGCGTCCACGGAAGCCTTGACATCGGTACTGCGGAAGCACGGCAGCAAGCTGAGCGACGTCATGGTCGAGAAAGTCCTAAAAACGTCTTTCGAGCTGCTGCTCTCTGCCCGGGTCAAGATAAGAAACCGGTTTGTGGATGTGCTTGTTCTCCTGCTTAAGTTGCACCCTGGAAACGCTTCGAGTAATCTTCTCTACCTGGCACAAAGCTGCGATCAGCTGCAGACCGTGTGTGCCATTGAGGCCTTCTGCAGAATCATTCAGACTCGTTATCTGAAATTTCTGCCCCTGAAGTGCATTTTTCATTACTTTTCGATAAACGTAGACAATGACGATGCCAATGTTCGTTCCTACGCCAGCAAGGGGGTGGCACTGATGGATTTTTACTTTTGATTGGACAAGACGAACGCACTCCTGTAACGTCTGTAGCAATGAAATCTTTCTAACTTAATGAATAAATTTGTACTTTATTTTTCTTGCCCACTTGTCTTAATATTATGCCCGGGGACAACTTTGTGAAGCAATGCAGGTGCTTTCTTTTCCTCGAGAATGCCACATGAATTTGTGCTATATTAGCGAATTCATATATATATATATATATATATGAACGAATATGTGCAGATGAATGAACCGTACTTAATCCAATGAATCAAACAATCAAAGCTTCCAGGAACCCGCCGAAAGCCAAAAATTGGCGGAGCCAGGATTAAGTACGGTTCATTCATCTGCACATATTCGTTCATATCCTCTTCGGAGACCACGTACGATGGTGTGAAGTGCCCGTGTTGTGTATATATATATATATATATATATATATATATATATATATATATATATATATATATATATATATATATAGATAGATAGATAGATAGATAGATAGATAGATATAGATAGGTAGATATAGATAGATATAGATAGATAGATAGATAGATAGATAGATAGATATAGATAGGTAGATATAGATAGATAGATATAGATAGATATAGATAGATAGATAGATAGATAGATAGATAGATAGATAGATAGATAGATAGATAGATAGATATATTTTAAATGAAAACAAAGCAGGCACTGAGGTGGTAAACCAAAGTGCCCTCATTATATATTTTTTCACCCTTTTGGTTTTTTGTAATTACTGTTTGTAATTAATTGCACGCCATATTTGAGTTCGGTGTTCACTGACAGTGCTCAAAATAGTCTCACATCTTACTCTGTCAAGGTCAAATAACTGTTGAAGCTCACCATCAGCCCGCGCTCAGCAGCTTTGGACTCAGCTATGACCAAAGTTACATAGAGTTATTACAATAAACGCTAGAGGCTCAGCTGGCGCTAGTGTCTACGGGACTTCTGGTTGCAAATTGAAGCAGACAGCAAACAGTCTACTTTTCCAGCCCTCCTGTGCATTCCTATGGGAAAAGGTTCGTGACATTTTTCTCTTCGCCAGGCAATAATAGGAATCAGTGGAGTTTCTTTACTCGTAATGGGTACCATGTAGCTTTATTCACAAAAGTGTAATTTATTTATTTTTTTTTTTCTTATTACTGAGCGAAGTTTAAGTTAGCGAAAATTGAGGTCCACGTCTACGCTGTACAGCGTGATAGGTCAATACAATCTATCGATTCAAGCAAAAAACATGAAAGACGTTTAAAATTCTTTGTGACGACGAATTGGAGCGCAGCTCTCGAGAAGAGGAGAGAGAGAGGGGGGGAACGGTATGCGCCTCCTCCTTCCCCGCTAAAGTTAGCGAGAATATTGGCAATGTTAGATGCGTAAACGTTGGACGTCATACGTCACGTGACGTCACACGTCAAATGTTTTCCATAATGACGTCGCACGTGGCTTCACGAGGGTAACGTTTAGATGATACTGTGGTGACACAGATCCAAACAGAAACAACAATCAAAAGCAATAAAAGACGAGGTTCTCGGGTCGCGCGCTATACGCACACCTCGAGACAGAGAGAACGCTTGAGAATTCGAACAGGTCGGATGCCTTGGCTCTTCCTTCCCCACAATACCCTCGTGACCCCCACGAGGGTTACCCTCACCCCCGTGACCCCCACGGGGGTTACCCTCACCCTCATGAAGGTAACCCTCACGAGGGTTATCTTCACGACGGTAACCCTCACGGGGGAGACCCTCACGGCGGTTACCCTCACGAGGGTTACCCTAATGAGGGTAACCTCGTAAGGCTAACCGTCGTGAAGGTCACCCCGCTGAGGGTTACCTTTATGAGGGTAACCCTCGTGACGCCACGTGTGACGTCACACGTCCCATAATCAAAAAGCGGCTACGCCGACGCCGATGCCGCTCAACCCGCAAACAGGCGCCTAAGAGCTGCGCTCTAAAAGAACAATTAAAAATTACGTAGAGATTATTCAAGCTGTAATAGCATTCAGATGACGGAAACACAGTTTTTACTAATGCACAGTACGTGTTCTTCGTTCCATAACTCCATGCCTCGTTCTTGTTGTATGTTTTGATTATTTGGCATATATTAGCATCCATTTGGTATTTCGTCAAGCTGATTCAATATGTGTGCTTCACAGTCTATATGCGTAAGTGCGTGCCCTATAATAGCAGTCTGCAAAGTCAACACGTAATATACATGTGCATTGGGCTACTTTAGCGTAGTGTTCAACGCCCTAAATTCCAAAGAAAAACGCTCTAACCGATACATATTTTTGTACATCCGATTGTCAAACGTTCCGAATTTTATATTCTGTCACAACACAAAGCATTATTTGCTCTTGTAATCGAGCGCGAAGAGAGAACGCTTTTACATTTTCCTATAGGAATGCATTACCGGAAGTCAAATTTAGACTGATTGCTGTCTACTTCAAAATGCAACAGCACACTAGCACCACCTGAACCTTTAGCGTTTATTGTAATAACTCTATGCAAAGTTATTAGATTAGCTCAGATACGAAACTGCTAATAGACGCTGCTTGCACGAGCCTTACTCCCCCCCCCCCCCCCCCCCCCCCCTTCTCACTCACCATGACTCGCCTTCCTTCGTTCAACGCTCCACACGGCTGCTTTGGTAACTGCATGTATTCTATGGAATACGTACGTTTCGAACCACAGCGTCTCGATGGCGTTCCACCGTACTTTATGCCAGAGCCGTATATTATGAGAGTTTGGACAATAGGCGGAGCAAAGGCCGCCGCCAGCGCCGAAAACTCCCCCCTCGGTTAGAGCGTAAACTAGAGGTACGACACAGCATCGACCAATCAGGAGACCGCGACGTCACAATATTGCAGACGACATTTAAAGGGACACTGACAGGGTATTTATGCTCGCCGAGGTTTTTAGTTGTACGTGACATATGGGAGCTCAACTACCCAGAACAGAATTTGCGGCTCGAAATTCGGTTTCTTTCCGCCCGAAAACCGCCGATCAAGAATTGGCCGGTTCGAGTCTCGCTCACTCTCTTTTTCGCGGTCACGGGCCGTTTTCTAAGGTATCGATGCGACCACCAAATTTAATCAAAGTCGTGGGTCACTGAAGGCACACACTAAATATTAAAAATAGAAAAAAATATGAAACCCATTTTTTGTGGCTTCTAAAAAGCTGTAAATACGTTGATTGAAAAAAAAAGTTCCACAGACAACCGGAAGCATTCCGTGCGTTCGTCGTTTCGCGTATCGTGGGACTCGCGGGAACGGCGATGGCAGCGGACGACGGGCGTGGGACCTCTATTTCAGAACTGTCGTTCGCGGTACCGGCGATTTCTGTCTACCGTTAAAAGAGAAATTTGGGACTGATCAAAAGAATTGGTATTCATCCTGTACGACACGCCCGGCCACCAAGCCGATTTGCACGAAGACGTCGCCGAGGCGTCGCTCCCTTCTCGTGGCTGAAGACAACGCTCGCGCAAACGTCAAGCACGACGTGTCTACTTCGAGTTGAATATGCACGCGTACGATTTCTTTACTAGGTGCGAATGTCCCCAAAGCGTGGTGCTTCCCGACTTCGACCCGGGAGTGCTTTTGCTAGAGAAAAATCGACAGCAAACTTTCCAACTTACAGTTTACCGGCTGAATTATTACTAAGGAAAGAGATCCACCAGAGACGGGATGCCCCAGTAGCTCAGTGGGAAAGACGTCCGCTTCACACGCGGTAGGACCGGGTTCGATCCCCCGTGAATTTTTTTTTTTTTTTATTTTTCAAACATTTTTTGATGTTTACATATCTTTTTCTTTTTTTTACAATCATCACTGAAGAAACGAACGAAAAAATAACAAACAAAGGTTGTGGACGATACTTCGCTGAACTAAACGGTATGGGATTTCCGTTTTGACACCTGCGAACTCAATGTAATCACTTTCCACAAAATGCAAGGAGCATATAAATCAGGTAGCGTCCGCTTTCCGAGGTGCCCGTAAATGTTCTACAGGAATTGCAGCCAGCCATTGGTCCCGATCCCGTTGATCTTTCGGAAACTGTCGCACAATGCCACTTTTTTTCGGATGCAGGACATGTGAGCCAGCTCTTCACGCAACATCTTGGGTTTATTCTTTTCGGAGCCGATCATGGAAATTCACCACGGGCACTCACTACTCATCTCCAACTCCTCAATGTACAAAGCAACTCATCTTGGAGTACAGAACATCGAGCGAACAGACATAACTGCAAAAGAATCACACGGCAAGCAGTTCCCGCACGCCGCATCGCACGCCGCATGTCGTGTCGTCTGCTACCGGAGAGGAGAAAAACAAACAAAAAAAAACGCACGGTCGGGTGTAGCCACGTGACTTCCGCCAGTCACTCTCTTCTCTCCACTTCTCCGACCTCCGTCGGGTTTCGGTTTCGGTTTCGAGCAGTTGCGTCTTTTGGCTTTATTAAAAAAATACGCTACTCTGTTGCAAAATATTGATTGGGTAGTCCTCCGACACCATAATGAAGCGCCTGGCAAAAAATAAAAAAAATTTTTTGGGGGGTGTCAGTGTCCCTTTAAAGCGTGAAATAGGAAGTATTTACTTGCGGCCATAGCTGTGTGCGCGACTGCTGAGCGAGTGCTGATGGCGAGCTTCCACAGTTCTTTTGTAACGTGCATTCCGCACCCTCAAGATTGCCGGTCTTAGCAGCCTATTAATGTGGGCTCGTTCTGAGCATGCGCTCTATACAGCACCCACAAATATGGCGCCCAGTGAACACTCCTTACAGAAGCGTTCAATCTCGGCCTCTCTACTACACCGTGCTCTCTACTCCATCTCACAAATGTCTGCAGTAAACACAGGTGTGTGAGCCTAGCTCAGCGAAATGCTTTTGTTTTTACGAGAACTCGTGCATAGGAAGCACTTTTCCAAGCCACGCGCTCGTGCCCATGCCTTTGTCTGCACTGCTGATGTTTGCGCGAATGGAGTATCGGTAAAGTGTACTATAGAAGGAACGAGTGGGACGAGCTACAGGCTCCGCTCATGCTTTCAGTT